GGGGGGTGGGGGGAGGTGGGGGGTGGGGGGAAGTGGTGGGGGAGGTGGGGGGTGGGAGGGGAGTGGGGGGGTGGGGGGCCTGAGGTGGGAGGTAGGGTGGGAGGGCAGGGAAGAGACCTGCCAACATGGTGATATGGTGATGGGGCCTCTCTTGCCCCAGGCTGGGGTAGGGGGGGAGGCAGGGGTGGATTCGGAGGTGCAGGGAGGGCCCCGTGCTCACAAGACAGGAGGATCTACATCTGCGGCCTTCCCCTTGGTTCCCACACGCAGGGGTGCAGGGTGCAGAGCCAGCCCCAGAAGGCTGCCGGGTGGATTGCTGAGCTCGAGCTGGGGCGGAAGAGGGCCTGCCCGCCGCCTGCTCTGGAACCCGCGCGAAACGCTTCCCCAGAGATTTGCCGACGTGGCTCTTCACTGCTCTTGGCGTTTGGCGCTGCGGGTGAACGTTCGCCTGGGAGTCTGATTCTCTTTCCTTCGCAGGCAAACTGTATTTTGCGTCTCTTTTGGAAAATGCTTATTTTTAGCCTTAGAAGTCGAATCCGTGTTTTTCAATTTGTTTCCGCTTTCTCAATGGTCCCGCCAACATTGGCGAGGCATTTTGAGTAAAAAATTCACATGATTCTTTTTTGTTGTTGTTTAAATTTATTTTTTAATGTTTGAGAGACAGAGAGACAGAGCACGAGTGGGGGAGGGGCAGAGAGAGAGGGAGACGCAGAATCCGAAGCAGGCTCCAGGCCCCGAGCTGTCAGCACAGAGCCCGACGTGGGGCTTGAACCATGAGATCCTGACCTGAGCCGAAGTTGGACACTTAACCACCGGAGCCAGCCAGGCGCCCCCAAAATCCACATAATTGTTAAAAGTGGGGAAATGTTCTCTAGGTACCTGTTTTTTTTTTTCTTATTCTGCATCTGCTGGCTGGTTTCCTAACCCTCCTATGCACGAATATGAGGTCCCTTTGGTCTACTCTGTATGTCTCTTCTTTTAGAAATTCTCTTCCGTAGTCTTTTTGCTTTGCACCTTGGAATACTTATTTACCCTTTTAAATCATTATTTCCGTTTTGGGGAATGTTTTCCCCACCAGTGCTTCTAATAAGTTAAAAAATTTTTGACAGTTATGGTTTATTTCTAAGAAGTCTTTCTTATTTTTTATAAATAGTCCTTTCTAATGACAAGATTGATTTATTGCTGCCATATCCCTGAAACGTTTAAATCTTGTTTAATTGTCTTCTACTGGGGCCGCTGGGTGGCTCAGTCGGGTAAGCGTCTGACTTCAGCTCAGGTCATGATCTCACTGTGAGTGAGTTCAAGTCCTGCATTGGGTTCTCTGCCGTCAGCACGGAGCCTGCTTCAGATCCTCTGTCCCCCACTCTCTCTCTCTCTCTCTGTGCACCTCCCCTGCTCACTCGCTCTCTTTCTCCAAAATAAAGAATTTAAAAATAAAAAAAGACTTAAAAAATTGTCTTCTGCTTTCTGCATTCATTCTGTCTTATCGGGGCCATTTATGGACTGTTAATTTGGCATCCTATTTCCAAGTGGCCAACCTGCTCAAAATATCCTGCTGTCTGCCTGTCTCCAATTTCACCTGTGATACCACAGCCCCGTTGTTGTGTTGGAGATGCGGGCTCTGTTGGTATCCATGTTGGTTTGACCGCAGGAGGCCGTAGCTTAGGTAGAGAGGGTGTTGGGGTGATCTGATCTCTTGGGAGCTAAAAGTGACCCTCCTGAGCGGTGGAAGCCTGTGGGGGTTATTCTCTTCCCGCAGTGGCCACAGGGAATTTGCCGGGTACGGAAGCTTCCCCTGCAAGAGAACGGATGATAAACAGGCCCGTCTCATCTGTACCCTCTCCGTTAACACCTACAGCACCGAGCGCTGTTGATGGCACCCATCTCTGGTTTGGATGGTGAGAGAGTATTTTCTTTCCACATTAGGATTCCTGGGTGAGGAGCCAGGAGAGGGAGGAAGATCAAAACAACCTGTGTCTAGACTGCACTTTTGCTCACAAGTGCCTGATCGTTAACGGCTGGGGGTGGGAGGGACTGAGGCGTACCAGCTTCCGTGCAGTGCGATATTATTATATAATCCATTCAAGGCAAACGGTAATAGTTTAGGAAGAGGAAATCCTTGTTTTCTTGTAGTAAGTAATAATAATTTCCTACCTCAAGCCCATGAGTACCAGCAAATTGTTCTGCATGTGAAAGAGGTCGGAATGTAGAATCTCCTAGAACTTTCACAAACAGGGAAAAAATGTAAAATCGCAAGGAAAGAACTTCATCTAAATGGTCCTATTTCATGGAAGCACGTGTGGGCTATATAAAAAACTGTATGTTTTATGGAATACTACTTGGCAATGAGAAAGAATGAAATCCTGCCATTTGCAACAACGTGGATGGAACTGGAAGGTATTATGCTGAGTGAAATAAGTCAGTCAGAAGGACAGATATCATATGTTTTCACTCATGTGGATCTTGTGGGGGAAGGGAAGGGAAGGGAAAAAATAGCTACAAACAGAGGGAGGGAGGCAAATGACAAGAGACTCTTAAATACAAAGAACAAAACTGAGGGTGGATAGGGGGGTGGGGGAGAGGGGAAAATGGGTGATGGGCATTGAGGAGGGCGTCTGTTGGGATGAGCACTGGGTGGTTGTATGGAAGCCAATTTGACAATAAATTATATTCATAAAAGAAGAAAATAAATTAAAAAAAACTATGTTCTAGTTAAAGACCTGACATTACCTGGCTTCAAGACTCACTATATATAAAGCTATAATAATCAAAATAGCATGCTATTCGTGAAAGGATGGACAAGTGGATCAATGGAACCGAATAGAGAGCCCACGAATAGACTCACACAAGCATAGTCAATTGATTTTTGACAAAGGAGCAAAGGCAATTCAATGGAAAAAAGATACTCTTTTCCAAAAATATTTAGTGGCAGAATTGGATGTCCTCATGCCAAAAAAAAAAAAAAAAAAAAAAATGTGAATCTCAACACAGACCTTGCACTTTTCACAAAAATTAACTCAAATGGATCATATACCTAATGATGCAACTTGAAACTATAAAACATCTGGAGTGTAACACAGGGGGGAGATCTACGTGACCTCAGGTTTGGCAATGAACTTTTAGATTCAACACCAAAAGCCTGATCCATGAGAGAAAAAGCTGGTAAGATGGGCTTCACCAAAATTTAAACTTTTGCTCTGCAAACATGGTTAACACATGGTTCAAAGGATGAAAAGACAAGCCACACACTGGGAGAAAATATTTGCACAACACATATCTAATAAAGAAGTTCTGAAAACATGCAAAAAACTCTAAAAACTCAGCAATATGAAAACAATCCGCTTTTTGGAATGGGCAAGATATCTGCGCAGACACCTCTCCACAGGAGATATACAGGTGGCAGATAAGCACGTGAAAAGACGCCCCTCATCATGTGTCACTAGGGAATTGCAAATGAAAATTAACGATGAGATACCACCACCCGCCTTTCGGAAGGACTAAAATCCAGAAACTAACAGTAACAAATGTCTGTGAGGATGTGGAGGAACAAGGACTCTCACTGCTGGCAGGAATGCCAAATGGTACAGCTGCTTTGGAAGACAGTTTGACAGATTCTTACTGAAGCTTACCATAGTCTTAAGATACGATCCAGAAATCGTCGGTATTCACCCAAAAGAGTTGAAAGCTTAGGTCCACGCAAAACCTGCACACGAATGTTTATGGCAGCTTTCTCCATAGTTGTGAAAAGCTGGAGGCAACCAAGCTGTCCTTTGCTAGGTGAATGGATAAACCAACTGAGGTACACCCCTACGATGGAATATTATTCAGTGATGAAAATAAATTCGTAATCAAGTCATGAAAGGACTTAAACGGAGGAAACTTAAATACATATCGCCAAACGAATAGAGCCAGTCACAAAGGGCTATGTGCTATATAGAATTCCAACTATGTGACCTTTTTTTGGAAAAGGTAAATCTGTAGAGAGTAAAATGCTCAGTGGCTATCAGAAGTTTGAGGGAAGCAGGAGACATGAATAAATGGAAGCTAGAGGATTTATTTTTATTTCTTTTTTATGTTTATCCATTTTTGAAAGACAGAGAGAGAGCACAAGCAGGAGTGGGGCAGAGAGAGAGGGGGACACAGGATCCAAAGCAGGCTCCAGGCTCTGAGCTGTCAGCACAGAGCCCGATGCGGGGCTCGAACTCACGAACCGTGAGATCGTGACCTGACCCGAAGTCGGACGCTCAACCGACTGAGCCCCCCAAACGCCCCTAATGGAAGCCAGGGGATTTTTATGGTAGTGACACTATTCTGTATGATACTGGAATACCGGCTACACGATATCAAGCATTTGTCAAAACCCAATTTAACTGAACCACACAGAGTGGACCCTAATGTAAAATGCAAATGTTAGTTAACAATAGCACATCCATATTGGTTCATTAGTTATGACAAATGTAGCACACTAATGCAAGATGTTAATAATAGGGAAACTGTATGAAGAGAAGAAGGGATATGTGGAAACTCTTTGAACTTACTGCTAAATTTTTTGCAAACATAAAACTGCTCTGAAAGAATAGTCTATTAAAGACAG